GCACAACGTTGTCTGCGCGTCGTTTTAACGAAAAGCTGCGGACGTGTGCGTGTACGCATGCACGGTCCTGGTCGAACGCCAGTGCCCCCTTTAAAATGTCCACGCTTTTCACGTGCTCCACAAAAGTTCCCCACTGGATTTCGAGATAAGCGAGGGTGGTGGGTGGGTGGGGGGTGAGTTCTGTACGAACACAAAGTTCTGACATCCCCGCCTCTGTGCCATACGCTGCCCAGTGTTGTTATGTTTCCCCTTTGCCAGAAAGCTCTGGATACGGCCCGGCTGTCGCAATGTTTGCGCTCCGTATAAAAGTTTCACATAAACGCCATTTTTTGAGGACGCCGCATGCCCCCTCGGCCCCTCCGGTCGACTGCAACACGAGCCCCTTGGCAATGGCTCGCATCTAAATACGTACGGACTTTGTGTGCGCGAATGTATCTCGCAGCGACGGGGAAGGAAGAAAGTTGCGGCATTGGCACAACGAGCAGAGGCTTCGGCGTCCACCGGCTCACGCGCACGCTTCGTGCCGGTGCCCATCGCAGTCAAAGTTGGAAGAACGACAGCGGAGGAAGTCCTCCGAGCGCGCTGACACGGATGCGGGCACACGCACACACACCAACTCGGCCTTCCGTTTACAAAGCAACCGCAATAACAACGACATGCAACTGCCTTCGCTCTGTACAGTATTTTCTATTTTATTACTGTTAAAGTCCCGTGCTGCTGTCGGAATTTAAATGTGCCGTTAAAGAGTGAGTGTGCGAACACCGCATGGGCGAAACAATATATATACTGCACCGTCACACACGGAGGCAGTCGAACGGTCGGTTGGGTTATAATGCGCGTTACTGAAATTCAACTCTTAACTCACTTGAATACCATCAGATTGTTTTGTTTCCTAATAACACCACCCCTAATGGCACTGACTTTTCTTTCAACGACATTTGGTACACACACGTCAATTGATGAACCAATCAATAGTTAAACTCCAGTCCCTCTGTCAATAGCACGATGCCTTGAAGGCCTTCCCTAACCATGTTGGCAATGGGGGGGGGGGGGGGGGGGGTTTGACCTCCACTTGCTCACTCGTTGGTCAGTACGGGACGGTCAAGGCAGTGGGTGGCTCTGCAAGTCGAAATATTACTGGCCGCGGATGTCTGGGTTCAGGGTGCAGCGTGTTAACTACTGGGCCGCTCCTCCGTCCGCCCTCCAAACCCCAATTTTGGTTGGACTATTACAAAACTAATGTACAATCCTCGTGTCACGTCGGCGCGTGCCTTAGCGTCCTTCTCTGTAAACACTTCACTGGCTCTCATCCACGTGCAACCCTACCAATAACCACTCTCCTCATAATGGTCCTCGCTGACGTTTCTCTTTCCGTGAGACGTGGTAATTGCTCCCCATCCCAGAGTATGACGAAATTTACATTCAATAATAATCGCAGAAAAAGGTAGCAACCAGCAGCCACGGCTATGTATATACCTACGATCAAAATATCTACGAGAGTAAAAATCAGGTCGAGTTACATACAGAAAGTTTGCCAATGGTCTAGAAATACGTTTCACTGAAAACAAAACAACAGACTGTCTAAATTTCGATTTAAAGCTTTCGTGACTGCAGGGATTCATCTTCTTGTTTCTTTCGGTAAAGTCACGTAGAAGGGAAGTAATAAAATAATAAAAATAAAACATAATAAAACAATTCTCACGACGTTTCGGCTACAACGCAAGCAGCCGTCTTCAGGTGAAGAATGAGACACTACCAAACTAGGAGCTTATATATAAGCTGCATTGGGGGTTGAAGAGCGCCTTAACAAAAAGAATGTGCATGTGAAGAGGAATTTAGCATATTCATGGAAAATGCGTAGGCGTTGGGCGGGGGGGTGTCAAAGTCATATTATGCCCATGCATTATGCAGGATCAGCAGCAACCAAGGGGGGTGCAGGGATTAGCAGTAACAAAGGGAAGGAATGTTAATGATATGTAGCTGCAGTTACTCAACAACCACGTAGAAAACTAAAGTATAAACTACATAAAAAACTAAAGTATAAACTGCATCGCACCATCAGTATACTTACTATACTCTATAATAAGCTGAGTTACTAACAGCAAGTAATACATTACCATTCTACCTCGTAAAAATTCTATAATATGCTTCCATCTAGACCTTATTCTCTTACATCACACGAGCATATACCGTACTATATACTGCCATAGATAAACCCAACATTAAATTATATACTGTATTGCTGTAAACCAACCTATATCTTATACATTTAATATAACACTATGTATTATTCTACACACCCTAATGTGTGTCGAAATGGTTTATTACGTCCTTCCAATGATTGCTGAGCCAGAATCCATCTTCTCGGTTAAAATTGTCTCTGTGTTTGTATATGTGGATCGCCTCATGAACGAATCTCTCATGATAGCCAGATGGCTTGCAGAGAACCTCTGTCTTGGAGAAGTCAATATCATGTGAGCCCACTGAGTTGTAACAGTGATCTGCCACGGCTGAGGTGTTTGTCCTACCGTGTTTCAGGTCAGCTTTATGTTCACGGATGCGGTCCGAGACATGTCGTTTGGTTTCCCCAATGTAACTGCTACCACAGAGGCAACTTAGTTTGTAGACGCCAGGGTACTGTATGTCTGGAACCACATCTTTTACAGACGGTACCAGATCACGGATTTTATGTACTGTGTTGAATCGGACCTGGATCTTGTGTTTAATCAGGATTTTGGAGATCTTTTTTGTGACCCCAGCAATGTAGGGTAAGGTGATGGTCTTGAAAGGCTCCTCAACAGGATCCTTCTTGATGGTTGGACTGTCTCTCCACACATTAGATAATTAGACGAAGATCGCACTCTCAGTCGGACAATTTAGACAAACTCTGTTCGTACGCGCCTATCGTAGACCCAGAGAGAGAGAGAGTGGCATTGCCAGTACCAGCACACGACAGTGCTGGTGTAGATGGCCATGCCAGGTACTTATGGCAGCTATTTTAGTCAACGTAGGGGATGCCAGGGAAAGCTGATATACTGTGCGTGGCAGGGATTTGTACCTGGGTCTTTGGGATCATAGGACAGTGCATACGACACATTTATATATCGGGTGGCTTAGCGGTCGAGCGAACGGGAAGATTGCGAGTTCAAATCCTGTTGAGGGCTTGACTCCCTCCGGAGGTCAGTAGGATGAGTTTCCCTGTGAGGAAAGTCAACAGTGGCTATCCGATGGGTGAACTGACCCCTATCACGACAATGCAGAATTTCCAAAGGCTGTAAAGCTGATGAGCGATGCCTCAATGCTCATCGGAGCAGGAAATCACAGGAATCTGTATGGTCTCTTGCCTACGCCATCCACCCAGTCAACGTCACACACTTTTAATTACAAGAATTTAGTACATTTGATATTAGCCCCATTCTCATTGCGCTGGGTTGTCACGAAGGCACAATGTTTTAGAGGTATATTCTGCCAGGATGGAGCAATGTACTTTGTGAAATTGCAACAGAGTAATGTGCGAATACAATGTTTACAGTTTGGAAAATTTTGGCCCAATGACGCAGCCACGTAACGGCTTCTTTTTTTTTCGAATGACGTCAAAGGAACGTTCACATCCACCGCCGTGCAGCACAGGTCACCGTATTCAGCCGCAATCCACTAAATCACGTAATTCATAGTTTAAAAAAAATAAATTCTGTACACATTTAATACGGCAACACTTATATGTAATTGTATACCTCAATAAATAAAAATATTCCAGTGGCAGGTTACATGAAGAGAAAAAAAATTGCCTCATTAGTTTCCATTTAATGAGGAGCAAGTGTCAAAAGAATGACACTGCACACAGGTCTCCATGCAAATGAGTTTTCATTTTCTTCTAAACAATCCTCTCACCTGGTCCCATACGAGCTGTCACCTCGGTCTAAATAAAGTCAGTGTCTGACTCTAAATAAACAACCCCTCACCTAGTTTTAACAAAAACGATCTCGTAGATCGTTCTTTTGAACCTTTGCCCAACTATATTATTCAACCGTGTACAATTACAAAGACTTATTTTTGAATCCAGTGTGGCCCTTAAACTGTTGGGCCAACGAGTTCTGCATGCAATCCCCTATTAAATGGCGCATAAGCAGATAATGTCGTCATCACCTCGCCCGACCGCCTTTGTCTCCCCAGCGCCGATCACTGCATCAGTTCTCGGGGAGGAGGCCCACAGAGGACCGGTTCAGAGATCACGCGCCCGCTCACGTGGCCCTCTATCTCTCTCCGTGAGCGCAGCGCGCTAACCACTGCGCCACCGCTCCCCCACACACCTCTATGCAGCTACTACGCAAGTCGATGATGACACGTGGCTTGTCCCGCGTGCGTCATGGCTCAAGGTTGTCATCGCCGACAGTGGCATCTACCCCCAACCCCGTCCCTTCATCATCATCAGCCATGGTCAATCCACTGCTGGACTAAAGGCTTCCCCAAAAACCGTCGCCACATCTAAACGATACTGCGGCGTCATTATCCCGATACAGCCCTTTCGCAAGGTGCTGATTTTATTCGCTCCATCTCCTCCACGGCGTCACGCCTCCGAGACGCGATCCGTAATCATTCTTGACCAAGCCACGACGTGTCCTTCCCCCTGGCCCACGTACTTAGATTAACAAAAGCTCAACACACACAAGATATCTCTCTCTCTCTCGTGCTATGAAAAGAACAAATAGACGAAGCTCAGCCTATTATACGCGGTACTCTTATAGACATTCCGTTCAGGACCACGGTGTCGTTGACTACTGCCTTGGGTTGTGATTCTATTTGTCACGGTGCCCCGCAGCGACTGCGGTAACATCACGCCTGTTGCTATTGTTGTTGTTGTTGATGTTGTCGTCGTCTGACATCCTGGAAACCACTTCGATTGTTCTCATTTACCTGCGCGCGCGCGTTGCGCGTGAGTGCGCGCGCGTATGCGCGTCCTCCGACCCACGGCAACTTAACGAAAGTGAAAGACCACCCACCGGCCAAGCCCCGGGAAAGGATGCGCGCCCTGCGGGTGGTAGAACTCCTCTGCGATGCGGCTCCTCTGCGGGGCGAAGAGGGAGTAGTGTGACTCCCTGTTGACCATCAGCGGCGGGAACCACGTGTCCGGGGAGCCCAACGAGCCAGGATCGGGCCCGGGTCCCGAGCCAGCCCCGGAGCCGGGCCCCGGGGGGGGTCCGTAGCCTCCTGCCGCGGGCACGAACACGGAGAGCGGCTCGCTCTTGTAGCGCCTCTCCGAGCAAGCGCCCGGGGGCACATCGTGACCACCCGCGTCTTGCTGTCCGGACAATCCCTGGTTCCCGAGCAGCTGCTGCTGCTGGCCCCCGTTCTCCTGGCTCTGCGTCTCTTCCTGATCGTCCTCCTGACGGTGGTGGTGGTGATGCTGATGCTGCTGGAGGAGGTGTTGATGTAGGGCATGCTGCTGTTGGTGTTGTTGGTGGTGGTGGTCATATTCCGCCAGCTTCCACGGCCGCACCATTGCCGGCAGGCTGGAGGTCGTGGCCAGCTGAGTGCTGCTGGACATGGGTGTGTAGGTAGAGGCGGCGTTGCTGTAGTTGGACGGGGTGCTGATGGACGACGAGCTCGGGACTCCGCCGCATTCGTCGTGCTGCTGCTGCTGCTCTCGGTCCGCGTCGTCCTCGTCGTCCTCTCGCTGCTCCGTCTTCATGAGATGCACCACCTGCTGCACGGCGTCGCCGTGATCGTCCCCCCCTGGACGTCTGGTCGTGCCCACGCACCTCTCCTCCTCGTCATCCTGCCGCTGCTGCTGTTGTTGCTGCTGCTGATGATGGTGATGAAGTTGTTGGCCGAGTTCTGAAATGGACAGAACCCCCGTGGAGCGCTCGGCACTCTCCGCGGCATTGAGCAAGCTCTCCGCGAGAGTCGTGGGCTTGCCCAGAACGTTGGCCAGCTCCTCCAAGGTGCCTCCCTCCAGGAGCGCAGACTCACTGGAGCCCATCTGCCCTGCCGCGCCCTTCAGCGTAAACGCTCCGAAATCCGCCCGTGGGAATGAACGGGGGAGCCTTGGCGCTTGGGTCTACGAGCGCAAACGCCGCGGCCGCGGTTTAAAGAGAGAGAGAGAGAGAAAAAAAACTGACGTCTCTAGTTCTGCCGCATACGATCAGTGAGTGTGGGACGCGCACCCAGTTCTCAATCACGGCATTGGAGTTGTGAGACGCAGGGATGGGCTGGGCGGTTGTTGTCTGTGGTTGTGTGGCGAGCGGGCGAAGCACGCGTGGGTCGGCGCGTTCGCGTTGTACCACGCCAGCGCTTCTGTTTTGCCTCTGTCAAGTGCCCTCTACCGTCCGGGCTCCTCCCGGAGTCAGATGCGAGAGACCATATACGGAGCCAATGTGGGTGGAGTTTGATAGAGCTGGCCTTCTGCGGCCTCCATCTATCATCATCATCTACACCCCACCCACCCACCCCACTGCCAACCTCCCACTCTCACGGTTTAAATAACGAGATGAAATATTTAAGCTCGTTAAAAAACAAAACAAAGAAGAAGAAAAATTCACCGTGTGATGCATTCCGTACGTTGACATGGCAAACACATTTGCGCCAGCCTGTTCATAAGCCTGGAAAGGTACGGCATTTCTAAAATACCAGCGACCATTCCAGATTAAATGTTCACTCCTGGCATGTATTTTATTTAGTTGATGGATTTTTTTCTTGAGCCCTGTGTTTATTTTTCCAGCGCACGGGAATGATAATGGACTGCACAATGCAAGGTCCAGTCAAATTGCATCCACAATTTTGTATATTGCGTCGTAATAGCTGAGCTACTAGTGTCTAATGTGGGTCGCCGTCAGAGGAGTTTTTCTGCACCGATGATTACTCGCTGCCAGTGATCTCGCTGTTTCCGCAAGCAATCCTGGAAGTCTTCGGTAAAGCTGCACATAGAGGACTCGACATTGCGGACGCTGCTGGAACAACACAATGCGAGTTTCAGAAGAAACCTTTCTGAGTGTAACGCAACGTTTAATGTCACGTCACCGCCCTTCCTCCACGCCAACCAGCACGGTTACAAATCAATGCTGACAGATAGACGGATAATTATTGTCTGCTTATTTATTTTGTTACTTATATACTGTACTCCACGACGCAAAAAAAATTGTTTGTGTTATGTAGAATTGTATTTTGCGTCAAACTCGGACCATTATCTTAAAGAGATGATCCTTATTATTGATCCTTCCCCTTAACATCCGTCAGTTCCGCAGCAACAGTCCAATCAATCCTGACTGCTGATGAGACCCCGTTTGGCAAAACGTGTCCAGGGCACGCTTGTGTTGAACCAGTGCTGCCGAAACGATGCTCTCACAGAAGGCCGTGTGGTTGACTGGAATTGTAACGTATGTATGCATTATGTGGAAGGGACATATATGTGAAGGAGATATATTGTCTGCATATGTATTGCCTTAATACTGACTGGGCCTGCTTGTACGAATGGCCTTGCTGAATCAGATGGCTTTGCGTGCACACAAAACTGTGGATTGGGTGTGAATGAGCTGAGGTCGATTTTTACATGAAATGTATTGCAATTCCATCATCCTTTCAATTGTAACAAAATCTTTCCCCAAACGTTTCGGCTGGATTTCGTATAGAGCTTGTGCTCACTTTGAAATTGCCCGTATGTCTGCGCTTTGATTAATCATATTGGCCGAACATTACAATGCAAGACCCTCCTGAGAAAAGAGTCTTGAGACTCAGGATCCTCTTAGGTGATATTGGCATGATTATTATTCCTCATTACAAAGTCCAAATTATGATCATCAGCAGCAGCAACATCTGTTTTCAGCCACTGCTGGTTGAAAGTCAGGTGAATCTCACCTCATTAGTCAGCCAGTTTTCGATCACACAGGTACTTGCCCTGATAGAAAATCTGAACGTGACATCTGCATGCCAGAGTCTGTGCTGTATCATCTCACCCAATAGCGTCGACAAACCCTGTCAGCTCAGCATATACAATACACGCATGCAATTTGTATTTGGATTGCATCTAAAATGTGACCGCATCTCAGGACATTGTACAAAAAAAAGTTGGAATTTTTTTTTGTAAAGAGACGCAGATCATCTTGAGTTTGGACGTGAACAGGGGCAGGGGGAGTCAACGGCACGGGTAGCTGGACTAAGGGGTTTCCATCACACGTGGAGTAGCAGAGTAAAATAAAGCGACCTCCCAACGATAGGTGATTGACTCTGATGTGCTCGTAAGGAAATGAACGTTAAATTTTGATTTAAAGCTTTCGTGACTGCAGGGATTCATACTCTTGGTTCTTTCGGTAAAACTCACGTAGAAGGGAAATAATAAAATAATAAAGGCACGTAGAAGGAAAATAATAAAATAATAGAGAATTATTACAAGGCACGTAGAATGGAAATAATAAAATAATAATACTACAATTATTTTATTATTTCCCTTCTACGTGACTTTACCGAAAGAACCAAGAGTATGAAATGAACGTTGTTTATTACATTTTCCGAATTTTCGGTCCGTTCCTTATTTAACAATTACGAGGAAATTCTGAGCGTGGGCAATCATGGACCTAGGACACAATGACCCACCGGCTAATGTCATCCTCACAGTGGCACGCACGAAGCCCCCCCCCCCCCCCCTGTTTGCGTGACAACGTCACCCGTGTATAATTGTCAATAAAAGGGGGGAAAAAAATCCTGCTTACAGTGTTTGTAAGTTTTCGGGTTCGTATCTGATGCTGAAATGTGCACAGCTTGCATAATCACGTTTACTAGTTGACGGTGACTTGCATTGCGGCTTTCGAGGCGATGCAAATATGAGATTTTACCCCGTTGGAAATCCACGCGAATCTACAGCCCTTCATCTCAGTTCTTAAAATATTATCTTGTGGGGTGGAGTGGGGTCGGGGCCCGAGTCGTCGCATGGTGTACGCTCTGCAGAACATTTCAAGAATAGATGTGACCGAGCTCACTCGGAGTCAGGTGCCCTCTCTCTCTCTCTCTTCAGACGCCTCCTCGTCGCCAACTTCGACTCGGATTGAAAGCCGCCGCCCGTGGAGCCGCTCACCATGCGGGACGGTGTTTTAAAAACCAGGCGGGACGATGTTGGGGCGAGACGTTAAACCCCTCGCCTCGTTACGCAGGAAGCCGTGGGTTCGAGTCCGACACTGACGCCTGCATAACTGGAGTTCGCGGTGTCTCTCTCTCTCTCGCTGTCCTCTCCGTGATCGCGTGGATTTATCTCCGGCTCCTCCGGCTTTTCCCTCCACATTTCGAATCAACATCACAGCGCATCTAGATTATTTGACTGCTGCTTTAAATGTCCACGTGATAATCCACCTCGCCGAGCTCTCGCTTGTGGCCATGTCGGTTCTGAACAAGAACTACGTAGCTCAGTGGACATCAGCTCGTAAATAAAAAATAAAGTTTTACTTTTCATCATGTTCTGTCCACTGCTTCACGAAGGCCTCCCTACATCATTGCCATCCTTCGCAGTCGTGCGGAGATGCCGCCAATCGACTTGCTCATGGCGATTCGTTGTTTTTTTATTGAGGCATCTCTGCTGTGGTCGTCCTCTCAGACATGTTCCCGTATCTGGGTGCCAATTCCTTCACCAGTCTTGACCATCGGCGAGCCCTGCCCGAGCACGATAACAACAGCCATCTCCCCCCGTACCATCTGGGTGAGAGCCAACCCACGCTGTCAACACGACGGCCAAGCGCCTGTTGGTGAAGTCGGGGAGCAAAAGTGGAGGCCGACGTTGAGGCTGATGCACTGCCCCCTGCTGATCAACGTGACCCTCTCAGAAGCCTACACCTTTGTATAAAACTAGCCTTTTATGTACGAGCATTTCGGCGGCCTAAATGCCTTATTATAGCTCATTGGCTGTGTCGGGTGGTGGAGGGTTTAACAACACATTTATATACTGACGCAATCTAAGCCAAAAAATACCTCTATTATAGATGGCGGTTACCTATCCAAGCACTATCCAGGCTCAATGTTGCTTTGCGTCTAAGATTAAACAAGATGACATATTTGTAATGTACACGTACACGGTCAAATGCAAATCCTATATTTAAACCACAACTCAATAAAGATCTCAACAAAATGATTGAAACGTCTCACAATATAAGTGATATCAACACAAGGTAATGTGGAATTTCCATCACCGGACCCAGGGGCCATCAACAGGGAAGCTCACCCTGCCCCCTAAATGGCAGCTCGCTCCGGGAGACGCTTCACACGAGCATCGAGAACGTCGGATAATGACGCACTGAGAGACGCCCATGACATTCATCGCAGACATACGTCAGTCGCGTTACGAGCGGCGTGTTGTTAGTGAGCTCTGCCTGAGCAATGGGGGAAAGCATGACTGTAGCAAGCACTGCAGTGGGCGATTTCTACGTGCTACATTGAGGGACAATGCCGGGTGTCCAAAAAAACCCCGCTTGTTAAAGGGGCCATCCATTTAGTAGGTACCCACAAATTTGTCATAACGTGACCCCTCCCCCCCTCCCTGTACGCACACGGACTTCTTACACCCCCCCCCCCACCTGCGTACGTTCGCCTGACGCACCCCCCCCCCCCTGAATCCTATAGAATGGCCGATATTTAATCCACGCACAAACGATCAAGGATTAATAATATTAACGTGTTTAAGCAAACAGTCCACAGCCGGACTATCTAACTCATTTAGAGGCCAACGTAGACAAATTATTATCGAGGCTTCACCCCCCCCCCGTTTCCTATGCGTACGCACATTGTCAGTAGACCCCCCATACGCAAGCGCATTTGGGTAAACCCCCCCTCCCCCCTCCATGCGTACGTACTAAATAGTTGGCTCCAAACGCCTCGTTCAGCCTCGCGGCAATCACAACATTAGCCAGGACTTGGGGCAAATACCCGTTAAGAGGAATGCGAATTGTAATCAACTATAAGGTATTTAAGATTTAAAAAACTTCTCTAACTATGATGTAAATGTTCGCGCAGAATTCTGCAGTGTTTGCAGTGCTCCAGTAAACATTGTCAGTGGGGTTGTATGGGTATTAATGACGCTTAAAAGAGGCTTTAGAGGCTTAAAGAAAATGAGTTTCAGTTGCGATTCAAGGAATTATTATTAGAAGAAGCAAGAAGCATGGTAGCATTCACAAATTCGCACTTTAGCGGCTTTTTCAGCGCAGCCTTTATTTGTTTTAGATGTTGCTTGGGATTGTAAAACAAAGGTTTCCTCTTCATTCGCCATCCCTTTTGGTATTTTTGTGCTCATAGCATCAGCCGATGTTGATTTTGGCTGGCTGACAAACATGCTCTTCACACACTCTGCACAATGAAAAACCCTAAGTAAATATCATGAAACATTGCCAAGGACATCAAAATAAAATATATGAACATGGTATGTTTTTTTTCCTGTTGCAGGTATTTATCAAATACACTCTCAAACATATGTGGGATGTTTACGGTACTCAATAGGTGTGGGGAATATTGTTTAAATCTAAATCCTTATCGCTAGTTCTGAGATATGTAAAGATATTATAACAGCAAATGACCACATTTTTTTTTCTTCTGAGCAAATAAGAATGGAGGAATGACATTTTCACATTGTGAAAATAAATGTACAACATAAATACCTGTCAGTTGTTGGGACAATCTGTCACATTTGCAGACATCCCATTATGTGAGGGTCTGGACGTGTGGGTGATGTTAAAGCGG